TTTTTATTGAGAATTTGGCTAAATTAAAATACAGTATGTGAGCACAGAGAGGCAAACAAATGTAAAAGGAAATACGACGTGATGACGTCATTAATATGCTAATTAGCTCATGACGTCATCTAGCGACATTTAGCGACTTTTCAAACTGGCTTTAGCTATTTTCCATTGAAAGAAGTTGGCAACACTGGTCGCAGAACGACTGAGAACGGGAGACGTTTCAGATGCGCGCTCCACTTCACTTCAGCGCCAGGCGCGAGTCAAACGAGCGCGGAAACGGTACTGTGCTCGCAGCGCGTGCTCTTCAATTGCACGCACAAAGGCGCCGGCACGCGCTGTAGCCTGTATCTTTTCATATCAAAACGCGAAATAAACTACGTGCATGCAATGTCGTGGTCAGTTAAGTCATGAAGTTACCAAAAAGACGATTTAAGCTGCCTTAAAACTGTGCATGCATGTAATATATTTTATATGAGTCACATTTAAGAACATGTCTCTGAAATGGTTTTCAAAACTGTCCTGGAGCAGCCCAGCACCGTCTCACTCATCTAACACGCCCGATTTAACTCATCAGCTCATTAATAGAGACTTTAAGTCCTGAAGTGGGTCAGAAAAGGTCAAAAGAGTTGGGTTTATAATGGGCTTATGTGAAGATTGTTTTAAGTTAACTTAAATTAGAAGTATTTTTTTTAAGTCTAATAAATGTTAAAATTGATAGCTCTGAATTATACTGTAATGTTGAATGGCTAGTCATGTTGAATAGTCAATGGTTAAATATTAGGGGGGGCGATTTTATATTGGTATCATTGATACTGGCCTTCAGTCATAAAAAAAGTTGCCATTAAACAAATATTAAAAAATATACTGCCTTTATGTTGTACGTACATTCATTTGAAGATTGAATGTGAAATTATTGCAATATAAAAGTACTAGTAAAAACTTAATATTAGGTGGGATTAATCGCGATTAATCGCAATTAATTTCAGAAAAATGTGCGATTAATTATTAGTTATTTATTAATTAATTAGTTATTTTTTAATCGATTGACAGCACTAGTAATTTCATAAAGACAATAATTATGACATTACATACAAAGATGTAGTTAAATCCTATTTCCTTTTATTATAAATGTAAACTAGAATATGTTTTCATTCAATTACAATTAAGTGTCTGAAAACTTTACATTCAGTTCACACTTAAGTGTTCACTTTTATATAGTATTTTATCTCCTTAATAAGTACTATTTTTAAAAGTATGCTAAAGTCTACTTTTTCACAGGTGCATTTACTTCAGAAAATCACTCATTTATCACTAAAGGATTATACAAACACATAAACTTGTCAAAGTTGAATACAGATCTAATAATGAATAATGATCGAATACAGACTGAAAAAAAAGCAAACATATGTCACACTGCTTCAAAGCTTTGAAATTATACAGCATCAGTAGTATATATTACTATCATACACAGGGCATTTTCTCAAAGTTATGTTTTATTTAGTGATTTCATCCTCTGTGTTGGCTTCTCTAAAGGTACAGCCAGAGCCATTATGTAAGGATGATTTGTCCTCTGTTGTGCTCTGAAACAGCTCGGGGCCAAATGGGAGAGAGACGCGTCTCTGCTGCTCACCCAGACGCACACGGACGCAACTCACAACACACATGCAAATCTCACATCTCGTGTGCTCAGTTACACCCGGCACAGCACATTCACACGCTCCCATTCATCCCTTTGATTCCAACATTTCCTCAGACAGCAGCTCGCAGCGCCGTTAATCAAGTGTGATCTTTGGGGTGTGTTCGAGAGTATGAGGGAAGATGTTTGATCAGACTCTCTCAGCCCAGAGCACAAGAGCCTGAAATGTACCACGTGAGAGAGAATAAAAGAGAGAGAAGCTACATCAGGACTGTCTCTCCGCTGCACGTGGGCGTTTATGAGAGTCGGAGCATTAACTTCTCATTGCTTTTGCAGGCTCCATAGAGCCTTATTAAAATGCAGAGGAAAGTTCGTTAGCTGTAAATTACTGGAGAGGGAATGACGCTCCGCTCAGCATGTGGACCTCAGCATCCGTCAGCTCTTCCTCGGGCTGAAGTGTCTGAGGCTCTTTTCACACTTTGTTCGATCGCTTGGTCCGAGCTTGCATTTAATTCCACCTGCTTATCCCCGCAGGTCTCTTTATACATTGTAATTTTGGGTCCGAACTGTCGCGTAATTGAAGAGAACACTAACTTGAGTACTAGCAGCAGGTGTTTACATGATAACATTGAAGCCCAAATGACATCTGCAGACATTTTCACAGATTTTTAGGAGAAGTCTGGTTAATTGAATGGATATAAAGCATGGTAAAATGTGTTAAATGGAGCTGAACCCCTTGTGAAAAAAATTTAACCATATTTCAAAGACAATAGAAATAAATATGAAATTACATAGGAAGATGTACTTAACTCCTAATTAAGTCCTAAGAAAAAAAACACTCTAAAGTTTAGATAAATGCATTTAATATAAATATAAACTAAGAAACACTTTCGTTCAAGTGTAGTTAATATGCAGTTAAGTGTCCAAAGCCATTACCTTCAGTTTACAAAGTATATTTTTGTACAGTACATACTCATTTTAAAAGTATGCTGAAGTGTACTTATTTTCACAAGGGAGCGCTATGCTTTCTCAATAAATCACACAGTTAGAGATATTAGTTAGTTTCATGTCCAAAGCACAAATGGTGCAAGACGAGTTGCACACAAGTTTAATACTGTGGGTGTAGAGTTTAGATGTCATCTCTAAGCCAAAGTATGAGCAATAGTAATAGTAATGGTTGTCTTGGGTTTGTACATAGCAGCACATGTCATTCCTCTTCGTCTTATTCACAGTTTCAAGGACAGCATGGAAAAATCGTCCTATTCTGACTGGCTGATTAATAACAGCATTGCAGAGCTGGTCGCCTCCACTGGGCTTCCTGTGAATATCAGCGATGCCTACCAAGACCCACGCTTCGACGCTGAAGTAAGATCCCTAAACAGCAATAAATAAATGAATACAATTGGAATCGATCAATTAGTTCAGTACATATAAAGGGAAACATTTTTATAAGCTCATGTATGTGAATTTTGTTGGTAATCTAACCCATGATCTTGCTAACGCCATGCAGGAAAGAGCACAAAATAAATAAATAATTAAAACCAGACGGCTAGCAAATATTCATAAAATGTATTGTTTGGGTGCTGATTTTCACTTACTGCACCTTTAAAGGTTTACACTTGAATACACTCGAATTAACATCATAACTAGTGATCGACCGATATTGATATTTTATAACCGATACCGATACCAATTATTTGCATGTTTATGTGCCCGATAACCGATATGCAGAACCGGTATTTATTTACTGTTATAAAGTAAATAAATGACTGAGTGAAGTAAGTCCATACTTCACTTTGGTTTTTCCTCCTTTCAGTCATCTTAAA